AAAAAAACAATTACTTTTTTTTTTATTGCTTAGATGGGTGGACGAGCTCACAGCCCACCTGGTGTTAAGTGGTTACTGGAGCCCATAGACATCTACAACGTAAATGCGCCACCCATCTTGAGATATAAGTTCTAAGGTCTCAAGTATAGTTACAACGGCTGCCCTACCCTTCAAGCCGAAACGCATTACTGCTTTACGGCAGAAATAGGCGGGGTGGTGGTACCTACCCGCGCGGACTCACAAGAGGTCCTACCACCAGTAATTACGCAAATTATAATTACACTTAAATGTCATCTTCTGGTACGGATTATCCGAGAAATCGATATTTGTTACAGAATAAAATTGTATTGATGTATTTTTTTTATGTCCCTATAATACGTATGCATTAAATTAAACCTTATTACACTTTAGTAAAGCAATTTATTGTTAACTAGCGACCCGCCCTTGCTTCGCTTCGGAAACTGTAATTTATTATTGATTTCTCTACTATTTAATGGATGTTATTATACATATAAACCTTCCTCTTCAATCACTCTATCTATTAAAAAAAACCGCATCAAAATCCGTTGCGTAGTTTTAAAGAGTTAAGTTTTTTGTTTTATACTATGTAGCGATGATAACTTTTTTGTATTTATTTAAACTAGAGGTCCCGCAGTAGTCGAAATTCGACTATAATTAATTGGAATTGTAAGTTTGTACACTATTATGATTGTATTTTATACTTCTATAATCACAAATTTCGCCAAGACTACACTATAACAAAATATTAACAATGACAAACAATATTCAATCTATTCTCAATTTGACAACAGACGTCAAGAACAAAAGTTTGACAATAAATAGTATGCATGCGTGTGTGCATCAAATACATGGTATGTAGTGTGTGTAATGTTTTCTTTATTGATTTAATGTATGTTTTACGCATTATTTAAAAAAAAAAATTGCATTGTGCACTTCTTCTCTATATTCTCTATAAGTGTGGAAAATTTCATACTCCTCCGTCCGCGCAATTTTCGTAAAAAGGGATACAAAGTTTTTGCTTCACGTATTAATATATAGATATTGACATAAGATCAACCAAAACAATACATCCGTGTATTTAGTTCCTTCGAAGTGCATAACGTCGTGAATTTAGAATGAACGGTGGTACGTCACTGAATGTTAAAAACAATTCTTAAAATTACGCCGAATCCGTTTTGATGTCTCCCCGGTTTTACTCAAAGACCGAGTATTGTCGAGTTGAAATTAAGAAGGTGGGTGTAATCTGTGACTCGCAACACGAAATTAAAAAATCATGGTTTGTGATCAAAGACATTAACTAAATCTATCATAATAAATAGATCTAGAAATAATAAATAGACTTTTTGGCGGGAACGCGAGGAGTGAAGTTGTGTGATTTGTTTTATTTTGTATCATTGGTGTTTCTTCAGGTTTAAATGTGTAATAACGGTGGTTTATTAACTGTTTAATATCTGTGAAAGTGTACAAATGTGGGAAAATGAAAGATAGCCGCTGGACGTAACTTCTCGGGATCCTCCAAAAAATACACTGAAAATATCTTAGTAAATTACCACCATTTTACTGAGATTATATTTTCATTACATTTCACTCCATAATATCATTTTTCATAAAAATATGAATATAAATTAAAATAAGACATGACTTAAAGGTCTTAGTTACCAGGTCATGAAATCTCTAAAAAAATAATAATAAATAAATGAATAATATTTGAGTATTCCGCTTTTAGTGTCCCAAAGAGTTTGTATTAATAATTGTTAATTATCGGGTAGACAAAAATAGACTGGAACCCTAAAACAAAATCTTATTTTAAAAAGTTTCAAATTGAGTCATTCGATTATGAAAAAAAAAACACGCTTCGAAATTCAAACACGAAAATTCTTAAGCTTAACTAGGGCCTAGATCAGCGTATTCCCTGTTCTTGAATGAAAAAAAAACATACAATTTCATGTGAAATGTATAAAAAATTTGAAAACGTGCGAAATGTCACGTAGACCTCCATCAGTAGTAGCGTCCCGCGTTGCATGTATGAACGAAGCGAACACGGCGTGTCTAGATTACCGAATTGAACCTTATAACTTAAGTTACAATTAAGTTCGAGGAGATTAAGTAATCTAAAAGCTATGTTTACGTCAGTCGTAGGCATAATTAAAGTTTTTTTTGTTTGTTTTGTTTTAATTTTTCTTTGTCTATTTGTTACGCATACGTTACGTTTTACGTTCATTAAAAACTCTTAAAATGAGAAATTTATGTGTCATTGATGGGCAGACGAGCTCACCTTACAACCTGCTTGATATTAAGCAGTTATCATCACAATTACGGTATAATATGAATGGCGTCGCCACCTTTGAAACTGAGTCTGAATTCTATATTCCATTGCCACAATGACCGTCCAGATTCATCCTGGATAACTATATCAGTGCTTATCGAGATAAAAAATTTATTGGCACCGCTCACATTGAAACATGATATCTATTATAAAATCCTCATGTCAACTAATATACAGTCAATTTAAATGTTAGCTACGAATACCCCCAACAATGTTTGGTTATAAGTTATCACGATTTTAATTTCTTGTAGGATAGAATGCATTTTATACTATATATTATACTTAATACTATATTACAATTGTTGAAATATTATATTACAATTACCATTATTTCAAGATCAATGAAACCTGCAAAATTATAATTTGCGTAATTACCGGGTAATTTGCGGACTCACAAGAGGCCCTACCACCCTCTTGTGAGTCCGCGCGGGTGGGTACCACCACCCTGCCTATTTTTGCCCTGAAGCAGTAATGCGTTTCGGTTTGAAGGGTGGGGCAGCCGTTGTGACTAAACTTGAGACCCTAGTATCTCAAGGTGGATGGCGCATTTACTTTGTGGATGTCCATGGGCTCCAGTAACCACTTGACACCAGATGGGCTGTGACCTCGTCCACCCACCTAAGCATTAACAAAAAAATAAGACCAAAGAGTAACTAGTCAATCTTAAATGGATCTTCATTTGACATTAATAATATTATTTAATTATACATTCCATCCTGCCAAGCTTTTTGGTTTTAATATTATTATTTTTTCATTAGCCATTTTAAAATAAAATAGTATCCGTAGTGGTAGAGTCCTATATCCAGCAGTGGACATCTCTTGGCTGAAGTACTAAACACCATGAAGACATTTGATATGTTTCCAGGAACACATTTTTTTACAGTCATACATTTTTATACATTACAAACAGAATACATATCATCATCATCATTCTCCTGCCCTTTTCTAAGTCACCTGGGGTCTGCGCATCATGTTTTCTCCTTCCATACCCCTCTAATCATATACCATTTCTTCGCTCACTTCCCTCTTATACATATCGTCTTTCACGCAACTCATTCATTTTTTCTTAGGTCTACCTCTTCCTCTAAAGCCTTCCACAACCACAGTTAAAACTCTCTTAACAATCAGATCAGAATATATAAGTCTGTGTCAAACAAAAGTAGTCTGTAAATTTTATTTTATTATTGTGAGTAGAACTGACAAAAACACTTGTAATTATCAAAGGTTTGTTAGGCTAGTGACTATACTTGAGACCTTAGAACTTATATATATATCTTAAGGTGGGTCGCGCATATGCGTTGTAGATGTCTATGGGCTCCAGTAACCACTTAACACCAGGTGGGCTGTGAGCTCGTCCACCCATTTAAACCTTCAACAGTTCAGTAACCGGATTCTGGAGGGATCAATTGTCATTTTTATTGTTTTAATTATTCAACTGATGAAAGGCAATAAAAAAAAAGACTATTGGTTGAGTTTATTCGATTTATCACGAGAACAATAATTGAAGTTGTGTTTCTTTTCTTATTAGGGATCAAGGACTCTAAGCTTACAGCCTTCATAATGTTTAGCCACTGAAGTCTAAGACTTAGCTAAACAATTGATTAATGTTTTGGCAGATAAATAATTATCATATTATTATGTATTTAATTCTATTACATAATTTATAACTTAAAAATTCAGGGTAGGTACCCTTCATCTGTACACCCTACATTTATAAGAATATTGATATTTGACATTAAAATTGATTAGCTCATGACCATTCATTAACAAATTGTATATTTAGATTAGCTCAGGGCCCAGCTGATGTTTGTTGGAGACCATGGACATAATTATGTGAATACCACCTTGAGATGCAATAAAAGTTTTAGTTTTATTATGTAACGGCTGTGCTATTTCACTAAAAAAATGCCTCTTTTCTATACGTGGTTTGAAAATATGAAACTTTTTTATTTTATTAACTGTTTACATTAGAGATGAATATAAATTATGAGTCCAAACATTTATGAATATATTGCTGTAAACTACTTTCTAATTGGTACACATTTTATGGGTAATTAACATAAACATAAGCACTTATAAACATTACAATTTCAATAGCAAAAAACTTTCTTTTTGTGCTTTTAATGGACTATACTTGAAGATAAATTGCTATTCACCAAATCTACCCTTTAATGATATCATTTATAAGGATCATTTTTAAATGGACTTGCAGAGCTGATAAGGCTGTTCAACCTGTTTTATACATAAAGATTGTTTCTGTACATAAAGTTTTTTAAGGTCTGGATGATTTATATTTGGAAGTATTTTATTTAAAAGTCTTACATTAAAAAACATTTATTTGCCATGTTAAAGAACGTTAATGAATTGGAAGGATATTATAACAGTTTTCAATTGAGGCAATGAGCGCTCCGAACTAAACAATACCGCGGTCATTAGCCTTGAAATGCACCGAAATGCATATGCGATGCATAGAAAAAAAATTCAAACTACAGCACCTCACTGCAACAATGTCAATGCATTCTATATTTGAATGCACGACTAAAAATATCTTATCTGCGAACGTAAACATGTAAGAGCACAAAGGAACAATTACGAACAGTTTCGAGGGACCTTTTCAATGCATATCTCGTATGAATCATTCAATTGCACTTACCGAATATTGTTCGAATCTTGGATAAGCGCTTATTCACTTGTTAACATACGTACTACGCATCAGCGCACTTTCTACTTGTCCATTTAATTATAAATCATATGTCCAGTCACCGACAAATAAGCACGAAATATTCTACGTCCAATGCAGGTAGGCGAAACAAACCCACCGGGACGTGAATATTTTTCGTGCATTTATCAACGTTCCTTTATTATATTGCACTTGATCAAATTTACTACACAACAGTGAGAGTTGCTNATACGTACTACGCATCAGCGCACTTTCTACTTGTCCATTTAATTATAAATCATATGTCCAGTCACCGACAAATAAGCACGAAATATTCTACGTCCAATGCAGGTAGGCGAAACAAACCCACCGGGACGTGAATATTTTTCGTGCATTTATCAACGTTCCTTTATTATATTGCACTTGATCAAATTTACTACACAACAGTGAGAGTTGCTGTTACATAGCAATTATCATTTTTATTTATTTTAACATAAAATAACACCACAAAAACATCAGCGGTGAAGGTGAATGAACGATCAATTGATTTAAAAAACAAACTTCATTGTCTGTGGTAAGTTGACATTCAATAGGGTAAAAATCGCTATTAATCGGCAATGATGAACCTTTTTTTCTTAAAACATATTTTCTATGCAGCATGGCTTAGTCCTCGGTATTACCAAATAAAATTGTTTCTGTTATCTCGTTTAGTATCAATTGCACCTTTGCCCACTTAATTATCTTTCCGTGATCGCGTGATTGCTGATGGCCTGTAGGCTTTAACACGATAGGAAAGTGAGCTCTGTTTAAACCAAGAGGGGTAGAATTTGCTGTCAACGGCCTAATCGTTTCCAAAGAAGGGTGGTGCAACAGCATTTATGAAATAGGGCATAGCGTTTTAAACAGTCTGAACGGTCACATCCGAACTTTGCTTAAACTGGGACCGCTCACGCGGTACAATTAATCCTATTTTTCTTACTTAATAAAATTGCTACACCAAGAAAAGAACTAAAAATAAGTTGAGTTGATAGTATCACTAAAACGTAGGTGATGAACAATATTAATTTGTGTACATGCCCAAACCTCTGCACAAGTCGCAATATATAATGGTTGCATTCACCGGTTTCAAACTGACAGCAAACTATCGTGAGTCATCTACAAGCCGACCTTTTGGAGGAATGTGAAGTGTCGAGCTCTATAAATTATAGTGTTTTGTTCAGTTTGTGTATCTTCAGATATAGATTTGTAAAAATCCATGAATGTAGAAAAATGAAAAATAAAGTCACTGGTCGTGGCTTTTCGGGTTTTTCCAAAAAGTCAAATCAAATCAAATCAAATCAAAATCAAATCCATTGAATACTCAGTAAGTTGGAAATTCAAATCTACCCTTTTATTTCTTAATTTACTTAGAGGCTATTTTATTCCTTCTCTAATGAAATTGTTGCAGTCCGCTTCATTTAGTTGTAACCTAATTTCACCTGTAAATTCGCGACGTTTCCATTTTTGGGTTCAATCGTATCACAGAAATTTTCAATGTATCGGGCGATATTCCCTTTACTTGTCTGACGAACGAAACCGATTATAACGAACGACAATGTCAGCTGTCAACAATTCGCGCCAAGACTTTTATAGTTCCAAAACAAATGCTACTTCGGTGTTGTTTAAAACTTGTTGCTAATTATTTTTTTATAGTAAGTTGTGTTAAAAAACGAGTGTGAAGTTAAAAATGTCTACACCATCTAAACGCCCGTCGTCGCGTGCATCATCGGAAGCATCGACTCCACGAAGAACGCGATCCTCACAACAAGTTATCGTTCCGGAGACTCCGCAGCGTTCAACCGGCACACCTTCGAAAGGTGAGAGTTGACAACAGAATCATTAAGATTTAAAACAATTGTACATTTGTATATAAACTTTTATTTAGAATTAAACTAAAATTTTACAAAACAAATATTAGTTTAATTCTGCTGTACTTATTTCATCTTAACATTTAACCTCTTTTATCAATTTATATTTAACTTTTTAAAATTGCATACATATAATACAAACGGGAACAAAAGGCTTACAGCGTAATATTTAACTAAATAAAACAGCATTCGAATTTTTTCATGTTTTAAATATAGGCAGGCATCTGTTGTTAATTGATTAAAGTAGACTAGATATCACAACCTAAATGCTAGCACCCACTTTGGACAATAAAGTCTAGTCTCTAATGTCATAAAAATATTAATATAAAATAATAAGTTCAAGTTAAATTTCACCAACCCCTAGGCTTTCACTGATAGATATAGGCATACCTTTAAGTTTGCAATAACTGGTCCTGAGCTATATGCAACCTGCAAATTCCAAATTTTAACACTTCATTTGAAAAGTTTAACAAATTATAATTTGTTGTTAAATTGAACAGATGGCACTCCAAGTACACCACGAGCAGCTCCCGGTCCATCTCGGACACCCCGTACACCTCGTGAAGCTCCAGGAACATCACCTGCTCGAGCTCTTGCATCCAGTCCCATAGGTAAATTGAAATTTTTATATTGTGAAAACAGTGCTTTTCCTACTGTAACTTTGAATTTGTAATGCTACAATCATAAAGGCCTTTTTTTTTAATGCATTGTGATATGTGGTTATTTATAACTATAAATCTAGTTTTATTATATTAATAATTTAACGGCCGTCTGGTGTAGTGGTAAGTGACATGGTCACTACACAAAGGGGTCGCGGGTTCGAATCCCGCCAAGGGAGGTTATTTATATAATAAATATAAAATGTCTTTTCCGGGGTAATGGATGTATATTAAACATATGTATGTGTATAATAAAAATCTTACATTTATTTCCGTTATCTGGTACCTGTAACACAAGTTCTTTACGAACTTACCACGGGACCAGTCAACGTGGCGTGATTGTTGAATATTTATTATTATTATTTATTTATATTTATTTAAAATCTTATTAATTATACATAATAATTTCCAGGCACAGATATAGACATGAGCTCTCCTCTTAATTACGGCACTCCAAGTTCTCTAAGCACTCCTCGCTCGCTCATGAGAGGCATCATGACCCCAGCACGACAGAGGGCTGACCTCCGAGGTCACCATATAGCTCCCAATGTACCGGCACCCACACCTACACGGAGAGTAAGTGTACTTAAAAATTAAAAAGAAAATTTAGTCATAATATGCTGCAACAGTCTTTACTAACAAACTACTTCACAGACGAAAAAAATATGAAATGGGGTTAGCACAATATTAAAATGTTGAAAATGCTTAGTAATTGTCTATGACCACAAAAACTATTTACGTTTGAAATGTCAGAATAAAATGAAAATAACAAATATTAAATATAATTAAACCACATAGATGATTTTGATTGAATTTTGAATTTAAGCAATAAAAAAATATATATATTGAAAACTACACAATATAATCCAACATATTAAGTGAAACCATTTGTATCCAAACACTCCCTAAATCAATAATCCTTATAGTACACTAGCTGTTAGCCATTGCTTTGCTTGTGTATTTAAGATTAAGTGCCAATAAATTTTTCTAGTGCCGTGTAACTTTTTCTAAAAACAACAAAAAGTTTCTCATAGTAATGAGATGTTTATTGGGATAAACCAACCTAAAACGATTACAAAATAAATAATACAAATTTGTATGTGTTTCATCACGAACGAAGAACAAACAATTCTTCTTCTTTGTCGTTTCCTCATTACTGAGGGTCGTGACCACCTTGGTCCAGTTTTTGCACCAGCTTCCTCCAATGCTGCCTGCATTCGGCCTGCTTAATGGCGCCCGGGACGCTGGTGTTTGTGGCCTCCTTGATAATGTCCGTCATTACAAACAATTACACTAACATTTATAATGCTATTCTGGATACTCACCCACATAATAGTGGTAGGGCATCATTGGATCCCGACAGGTATGTACCACCACCCTGCCTATTTCTGAATTAATACATTCCGATTTGAAGAGTTGGAGAGCCATTATATGCCACAATTGAGATCAAAAATTAAAATCCATTAAATGCATTAATACAAATTTATTATGCTTTCATAATTAAACATTTAAATTAATTTTGAATCGGACAAAGTTATAGAATCCGATAATAGGTCCCTTCAAAAGCTTTATAAGGCNTACCACCACCCTGCCTATTTCTGAATTAATACATTCCGATTTGAAGAGTTGGAGAGCCATTATATGCCACAATTGAGATCAAAAATTAAAATCCATTAAATGCATTAATACAAATTTATTATGCTTTCATAATTAAACATTTAAATTAATTTTGAATCGGACAAAGTTATAGAATCCGATAATAGGTCCCTTCAAAAGCTTTATAAGGCAATATATGATTGGCATCAGTATGCTAAATCGTGTCCACAGCCCTGTTATACTGTGAACTTCAGCTTGAGGTTGCGAGATTTCCAGTTTGTCTCTGGGATTGAACGTTCTCCTGAAATCTTCAGTTGATGTGTTGTCTGCTTTCTGTGATGAAAAAGAGTATTGTTATATATTTTACTGTTAGCTTTAAAGGGAAGGCTACTTGACCCTTCATATGAAGATACCACAATTACATCAATACCATTGTCCATCTATACATTAGGATCTGTAAGCTTTGCGTCCCCATCGTCACGGCGGAGACACGTAACTCAGTGGATTGAAAAGTAGTTTACATTCTTTCTCCAGGTTCAACGCCCTAGACAGGTCCTTACGGATCCATCAGATCCAATAACCCTTGCATTAGACACCTTTAGCTCTAACACTGGGAGTAGAGACCCCGGTAACCGGTGCAACCTGACCTAAACATCAGCCCGCTGAGTTTCTCGCCGGATCTTCTCAGCGGGCCGCGAGTCCGATCCAGTAGTAGATTCATTCGGGAAGCAACTACTCTTTAGTTGTTAGGTTTCCTTTGGAGGTGCTCGGCTAGCTGGTAGCAAATCCCACGCCTTCTGGCTGAGTCCTTGCTCGCCCACCTGTCCTGGTAAAACTGGAAAGGCTTCCAAGCCACCAGTAACGTGTCTCAAACATAAAAAAAAGTCTTTAGTTTACGTTGCAGAATTACGAAAACGATTATATGGATGGTAGGACCTCTTGTGAGTCCCGCGCGGGTGGGTACCACCACCCTGCTTAGTTCTGCCGTGAAGCAGTAATGCGTTTCGGTTTGAAGGGTGGGGCAGCCGTTGTAACTATACTTGAGACCTTAGAACTTATATCTCAAGGTGGGTGGCGCACTTGTGGATGTCTATGGGCTCCAGTAATCACTTAACATCAGGTGGGCTGTGACCACCCATCAAAGCAAAAAAAGCATAGGTTCGTGGTTCGCCCCATTAATTACCGAAATTTCGAGAAAACGAAGCTTTTCCATAATAATAAAGCCATTTAATCCAAATCTCACTTCCTTCAACACACAATCGACCTTAGGCGATCGCCTAATTGTCCGGTAATCGTAGAAATGTGTGGTGATTTCGTCTTGCCAAAAAATCGCATCAAAATTACTAATTTGAGTAAAATTCAAAAGAAATACCTTAGCGAAATCAACTTTAAAAGTGTTAGCTCGGCACAACGGGCAAACTATGAAGTCCGTTTTGTCTCTCTCGTCCCAGTACTGGCACAAGCAGCGCTCGCAGAACCTGTGCCCACAGGTCAAAGCCGCAGGGTCTATGATGGTAGACAAACAGATCCGACAGCTGCTGGGCTCGTACGACGATTTGATGCTGGTCCTTGATCCTTGACTCAGTTGCGCGATTTGGTTCCTCGCCAACAAACTGGCTTTTGATTCGGACATTTTTCTGTATTACTGTATTTTTTTTTTTACATTTCAACAAATTTTAAACAATTTCCTGTGTGACTTTTTGTCATTGACTCGTTGATAATTTTTTTTTCATTTATTAAACACCATAAATCTAAGAATGAAATCTTCGTTGAGTCTTTAATGTAGAAGAAGAAGAAGAAGAAGGTGAAAGCATTCATAGTCGTCTTGTTGTTGTACTATGTTCTTGATTAATATTTGTATTTTTAAAACAAAGACGTGCAAAATTACCCCTGTGACTTAATAACAAGACGGTTTCTCAATAAAGTGTACCCTCAAAAAAGGTATAAAAAAAAAGAAGTTATTTATTAATTAACAACATACGTAATACGTGCGTAAGTACAAAATAAAGGGGCCCAGTCTAGAAATTCCCTGCTTTTGCGAGAGTCGTGTTGTCGATACACTAAATAACATTCATTACTACACGACTCTTGCACTAAACGTAGAACAATAAAAAAAAACACGTGTGGCACTCGGGGATTGCCGCGGTAAAGCTATTGCAAAGCATTTTTTATCAACTTATGCAATTACAATTAGGCAATAATAATTTAATATTAAAACAATAATATAAATAAGACCACGCTATATTTATAAACATTAATAAAAGCAAAACATTAACTGTCCCCTTCACACTCATAAGCTAGACCGCGTGAGAGAGAGATGGGCAGACTTTTCATGATGCTCATGCAGTGCGACGTCACGCCGCGCGCTTATTCACAAACACTACACCAGCGCAACGTGTGAATATGTTGAATGCGAGCTACATAGTAGGCGTAGTGGGGGTGTCAGGTTATTTTCATTACGGAATTTCTTGATTCAGTCGCCGCGCTCAATGCCCGCGATAAAAGCTATGCAATAGCTTAAAAAGTTGTAAATGTATCTGGGCTCCAGTAACCACTTAACATCAGGTGGGCCGTGAGCTCGTCCACCCATCTATGCAATTAAACAAACAAAATGCAGTATGACGTCACGCCACGCGCTTATTCACAAACACTACACAAGCGCAACGTGTGAATGTGTTGAACGCGAGCTACATGGTAGGCGGAGTGAGTGGTGGAAGGTTTTTTTCGTTACGGAATTTCATGATTTCGGGCTCAAGGCCCGCGATAAAATCTATGCAATGGTTTAAAAATGCTGTACGATATAAAACAATTACTTATAATATTTCAAACAAGAGAATCATAATCAAAAACTTTTTATTGCGCAAATCAGCAGCCAGTGGCAAATCACGTCAGAGTAATTTAAAAAAATCATCAATTCTGATAAAACGTTTTTGACTGAGTATTTTGATTTCCAGGTGGAAGGTTCAGAGGAGGCTTCGAGTGAACCTCAGCTGGTCGTGTGGGGTACGGACGTGGCCATCGCAGAATGCAGGGAGAAATTCATCAAGTTCATCCAGAGATACGTGGAGCCAACTGCGGTCACCAACGAACCACTTTACGAACAAAAACTTGAGGAGGTTAGCCGTGTTCTGAGAATCAACATCTGCTAGCGACTATAGCATCGTATATCCGTACTCCAAAGGAAACTACGATATTGTTAAACGTTGTCTCGCAATCACCAAACCGGCATAGCGAGGACATTTTCAAAAATTAATTTAAGACTTTGCGTTACATTGCCGGTCGCAGCGAAGATGCACTTTCGATTTTGCGTCAAATTCAGTGATTCCAATTCCAACGGCTGTTCTATGTCAAAACAAAAATATTAGATTCAAGAACAAGATAACACAATCAAGATTTTGATCTCATGTCTATTAGAGCAGATGAATGACAAGCTGGCCTCTGGTTCTTCTCAGTCGCACTTTATGCAATCTTCTAGATAATCATTGACTTTAAAGTAAGCTTTATTGCACAGATGTTCTTTAATAGTTTTCTTAAACCTATGTATATGTAGGTTCTGAACATCTTGTGGGATTTTGTTCTACAGGCACACACACAGACAAACACACATGTAACCTACTCTTCGGCACAACAAGCTTGTGTTTGTTCCTAGTATTTCTATTATGTATGTCCGACCTTTTAGGAAACTCCTCAATATGTTTACGAACATACATCAAATTTTCAAAGATGTACTGGGATGGCATAGTGAGAACTTTAATTTCTTTAAATTTTTTCCTCAGGGATTCCCTTGACTGCATGTTATAAATAGCACGTATAGCTCTTTTCTGCAGAATAAATATTATTTCTACATTATAAAGGAACTTAACAGTACAGAGTGCAGACCTTGCGACAGCACCGAGAGAAAAGGGAAGAGCGAACCATAGACAGCTACATTTATACACAATTCAGGGCATTCAATATCAAGCCAAAATTTAATGCATACCTATTCACTAACATTCTTAATAATCTCCGGGTGTCATGTTTCTGTTTGAGCGCTGATGAGCATCAAATAGGCCGAAGGAAGTCAACCGTACGCAACAAAAATAAGGTTAATAAGGTCATAATTGCATTAATTAAATCCATCCAGCCCTTAATATTCATCTGCAACTAATGATAATAGTTTCGCGGCAAAATAGACAATAGTAACAGCTCACGTAACTAGCGATCAGTAAAATATTTTAATCGAAAACAATTATTTTTTTCAGATTCACACATTGGAAGAGCCGTTCTTAGATGTGGACTGTGAACATGTCAGAGTTTTCGATTCCAAACTACACAGACAACTCGTCTCTTATCCCCAGGAGGTACTTTACACGTTGATTCACATCAGTCCATGTATTCCTTGTAATTAGTTACTGGAAAATTATAAATACATAAATAACTCTCACTTAAATACAAATTAAAACTCAATATAATTATTACGACACTTAAGGGAGATTCAATTATCGCACTTCTATCGCTTCGAATAGAACTGATTATTAACTGCCATCATATCATCTCTGCAACGCTTGTATAATCGACACGACATGTCTACAATTTTCCAGAATATCTCCGAAAGTACTAGTCGTTTCGATATCCGTTTTCGCTTTTTGACGACAGATGGCGTTACTTGTATCGGCGTAACAGTATTGTAAGGCCGTTGGAAGAATGTGTTCGTAGAATATCATAAGTTTTTTGTACGTTTTATATTATAAAAAAAAAGGGTTTCCAGAGTAACTTTCTCATCATGCTTAACTTTGAAAGATCTCCCCTCAATCATGTCTCTTCTGTGCTCTGAAAGAATCTTCAAATGAGTTTTAATGATAATACTTGACAGTAGACAGTGTAATGTATCTAGTAAAAATGTCAATCACAGGTTGTGCCGGCATTCGACGCAGCAGTCAACGAGTTGTTCTTCGAGAAGTATCCGGCGGCCGTGCTCGAGCACCAGATCCAGGTCCGGCCGTACAACGCCCCGCCGCGACACATGAGAGACCTCAATCCGGAAGGTCAGTCTATATATTTTGTTCCCGTACAACAATAAGCCTTAATACATTAAAAATACGAACTTAAAACAAGCTCTGGAATAATAGGTCTCCAATATAAATACAAATTGAATCTATACTAATACTAGCTGGCCCGGCAAACGTTGTTTTGCCCTATAAATTATTGCTGGGAAAGATAAATAACCTAGATATCGACTGCAGCGCCATCTGCCGGGATTATTTGTAAATCTAAACCATTCTCGAATCCACCTGAAGGGCGGGAGATCAAATTGAATTTTAAAAAAAATCGTCATTAAAGGAACTATAAGAGGAGAGGCCTATGTTCAGCAGTGGACGGCGATAGGCTGAAATGATGATGATGAAAGGAACTTGAAATTTTAAACTCTGAATAAGAATTTATCGTACTACAATTATAATATTTGATTGCCATCTTGCAACCTTATTGAGGATCTGTGCATAGAATTAAAAAAAAAAACGGCATGGAAAAATAGGGGTTGATCATATAAGAGTNCTATAAGAGGAGAGGCCTATGTTCAGCAGTGGACGGCGATAGGCTGAAATGATGATGATGAAAGGAACTTGAAATTTTAAACTCTGAATAAGAATTTATCGTACTACAATTATAATATTTGATTGCCATCTTGCAACCTTATTGAGGATCTGTGCATAGAATTAAAAAAAAAAACGGCATGGAAAAATAGGGGTTGATCGTATAAGAGTGAAAATTGAGAGCAATATGATTTTTTTTATTTTAAGTCATGACAAAATAAAATAAAATTCTTGCCAAAAAAATTAAAGTTTATAATTAATTAACAAATAAAAAATAGGGGTTGATCGTAGAGGGGTGAAAATTTAGAGTTGTATGTATTTTTGTATGCTGTATCATAAAAATATAAAAACAAAAAATTTATCCTAAAAATAAAAAAATTAAATTTAGGGGTGGACCACCCTTAACATTTAGGGGGATGAAAAATAGATGTTGCTCGATTCTCAACCCTGACCGATATGCACGCTAAGATTCACGAAAATCGATCGAGCCGTTTCGGAGGAGTTCAATCACGCACACCGTGACACGAGAATTTTATACATTAGGTATAAATTTACAGTGGTTTTTACGGATGTTCCGTTATAACTACCGAACCATGCATCCGATTGACTTGAAACTTGGTGTCCATGTAGAAAATACATGTACTTAATGGATAGGCTAATATTTATATGAGTATTGGACTGCCTAATAATAATGACAATAAATAATAATGTTAGTTTTAAATTCCCAGTGAAGCGGGCGAGTATGGCTAGTTTCAGTATAAAGTTGTGGCATTGCAGTAGAGATAAACAAGGAAATTTAAATTTTATCGTATTTATTGAAACTTCTCGTACGCCACCTGTCGCACCTTACTTGAAATTTAATATTGGTCAATATTCGATTAAAAGAAAAGTTTTCATCTAATAGTTTAGGAACAAATCTATACAATGTATGTATGTTGAAACTGCTTCCGACAAATGTTTATTGTTATGTAAATGAATGTGGTGAAATTTTGAGTCCTTACATGGGTGGCGAACAAAGTTATTTAGGGATTCACCGGAGACATGTGCAGCAGTGCTCTCCGAGTATTGTACCAGCATATTATGATCAACAACTGGCATTTATTGGTGGTGCAATGCCTATTGTAAGCCCGTACGGCTAGGTACTCCCTGCATATATTGCTACGAAACAGTAATGCTTTCCAGTTTAAAGGGTGTGTTACAATTGATATTTTGACCTCATGGCTCAGGGTGGATGACGGCATGAGCTCCTACACCCACTATCCTAGTTCGTCCTGCCACACCGATAGAACTCTTAGTAGACTGATGGCATTTTGAGGAGTCGTTGATTAATGTTATGATTTAAGATGAGTGACGACATGAGCCACTATTCTAGTTTGTACCTTTTTTCCCTACTTATGCTGATAGCCTTGAGAGACTATTTCAGCTTTTCCTTGACGTGTAGATGAGATCACGGGGCTCAAGCCGGAGTGTTGCTAACACTAACACTAGCAAGAGCCGTGCTTCGCAAAATCTACTACCGGATCTGAAACACGACCCACTGAGAAGATCCGGCGAGAAACTCAGTGGGCTAATAATTTGTCCCGTTACACTGATAAAATTCTAGTAAACTGATGGTATTGTCAGTTGCCGTCGGACTTTTTGGCCGGAACGCGAGGAGTGAAGTTGTGCGTTTTGTTTTATTTTGTCTATTTAGTGTTTCTTCAGGTTTAAATGTGTAATAACGGTTTATTAACTGTTTAGTATCTGTGAAAGTGCACAAATGTGGGAAAATGAAACAAAGTCGCTGGATGTAACTTTTCGGGATCCTCCAAAAAGTCCACTGAAAAAAAACTTAGTGAAAAATGACCACCATTTTACTGAGATTATATTTTCGTTTCATTTCACTCCATAATATCATTTTTAATGAATATAAATTAAAGTAAGACATAACTTAAAGGTCTTAGTTACCAGGTCATTAAATCCCTTAACAAAAAAAAAACAGTTGTCGTTGACTCATATTATCGTTTCGTTCCACAGACATAGACCAGCTGGTGACTATATCGGGCATGGTGATACGCACGTCCGGCATCGTGCCGGAGATGCGGGAGGCGTTCTTCAAGTGCGCGGTGTGCGGCGCCGCGGCCGGCGGGGAGCTGCAGCGCGGCCGCGTGCCCGAGCCCGCACACTGCGCGCACTGCAACACCGCGCACTGCTTCCAGCTCATACACAACCGCTCGCACTTCAGCGACAAGCAGCTCGTCAAGCTGCAGGAGGCACCTGGTGACTGGTTTTTTTATTTTATTTTTATTGCTTAGATGTGTGGATAAGTGTTGGTTGTTAAGTGTATACTGGAGCCCATAGACATCTACGACGTAAATGCGCCACCCATCTTGAGATATAAGTTCTAAGGTTCTAAGTTATAATAGCAGCCCCGATATTAGTTCTAAAGTCTGAAATATAGTTACAGCGGCTGCCCCATCCTTCAAACCGAAACACATTACTGCTTCATGGCAGAAATAGGCAGGGCGGTGGTACCTATCCGCGTGAACTCACAAGAGGTCCTACCACCAGTATGAAGTTCACAGTTGGAATTAAAATTTTCTATTATACAATAACGCAACGTTCCAGACGACATGCCTGCCGGGCGCACCCCGGCCACGGTGAGCGTGGTGGCGCACGGCGCGCTGGTGGAGGCGGCGGGCGCGGGGCGTCGCGTGCGCGTGACGGGCGTGTTCCGCGCCGCGCCCGCCGCGCTGCACCCGCGCCGCGCCACGCTGCGCGCGCTGCACCGCACGCACCTCGACGCGCTGCACTACCGCACCGAGCACGAGAGCAGGCTGCACGACATCGACGACGGGTACCTACATACTACCCATATTCCAACCACTTTAAAAAATATAAAATAATTTTTTTTTATAATTTAGATGGTGAGACGAGCTCACAGTCCAGTGGTTAAGTGGTTACTGGAGCCTATAGACATCTACAACGTAAATGCACCACCCACCTTGAGATACAAGTTCTAAGGTCTCAGTATAGTTAAAACGGCTGCCCCACCCTTCAAGCCGAAACGCATTACTGCTTCACGGCTGAAATAGGCAGGGCGGTGGTACCCACCCGCGCGGACTCACAAGAGGTCCTACCAACCTTGTTGTTTTACAATACCATTAATTATGTAAACAATTACCTAATTCTACAAAAAAAAATCTCACGAAATTCTTTTTCATATCAACAGCAAAGAGCATCGCTTCCCGCCCGAACGCGTCGAGTTATTCAAAACTCTGGCGTCGCAGCCGGATTGCTACGAACGTCTGGCTCGGGCCATTGCGCCTTCGGTGTATGAAAATTTGGATATCAAAAAAGGAGTGCTACTGCAGTTACTCGGAGGGACCAAAAAGAACTTTAATGCCGCCGGTCGGACACATTTTAGGTGAGCATTATTTAGTTACATTAGGTCAGATCTGTATTTTTTACGTATTTAAATCGGTAATGAACGAATCACAATAAATGACGTCATTTGTAAGTATTCAAACATGTTTTGAAATATAAATATTGTTACGCGCTGGGGTTCGGGATAAATAAAATTCCACCAAAGTATAAACTAAAAACTGTATTCAACACTTAAAACTCTGAATTCGCTTGTTCCGCTTCGCTTCAGGTGATCCGTTCGCTGTTTCGATTCGAGTAGCTCCGATTACTGACTGACTGCGTGCCATCTCTATAACGCTTTTATAGTCGATACCTCATCCCTAGAATTATCGAGAATATTCCACACAATGCTAGTATTGTTTCCGCTATCTGGCAATAGATGGCGTTGTACTTACCGAGCGTTCTAGGTGCTACTAGATCCTTCGATATTCGTGCGACTATTCGGCGATAGATGTCGTTACTCTTACCGGCGTAATAATGTTAGTTGTAAATGAAAACTTATTGAATTACAGAGCTGAAATCAACATATTGCTATGCGGAGACCCTGGTACATCCAAGTCTCAACTGCTTCGCTGGGTGTACACGTTGGTGCCGAGAGCTCAGTACACGTCTGGCCGAGGCTCCTCTGCGGTCGGACTCACTGCTTACGTCACCAAGGACCCTGATACCAGGCAACTTGTATTGCAAACGTTAGTATTGACTAGCATTTAAGTCAATAACCACAGTACAACAGTGTTATCTTCAAGTATATAAGTAAATTGTTGGTTGAATGTTGTGTGAATGGTATATTTTTGTCACATTATTATAAAGCAAAGAATTCTCTGTAAATCGAAAAACATAAATATGTAATATATTCTTGAATTAAATATATAAAACTTTAATATTTTAAGAAAAAAAGTTAATATTCAATTAATTTTAGTTAAAATCCAATATAGGTAGCACTTTCTTTTGTTTTCGTTATTAGTGTCTAACATCCTGCTTTTGGGATTACATGTTTTTTCCCCTTTCTTATTATTCATTAATTTTATTGTTTCAGCGGTGCTTTGGTTCTAGCGGACAACGGTATATGCTGTATTGATGAGTTCGACAAAATGAACGATTCCACACGGAGCGTCCTCCACGAGGTGAATACAATTCTATCTTTGGTCTTTAATGTTCCATCTGAGATTTTCAATTCAAGGTATTCCAGAGAATTTTGATAAATTTTTGACTTCTTAGAAACCTCATTAGTAATCAACAATGATTTATGACAACAATAATTTATGTTAAATTATTTTGATTTGACTTTTTGTTAATAATAATAAATTGTTACAGTAATCAACAATATTTTTATCAATTTTGTTAGTCGTTCTCACTTGATCCGCTTACTGGTAACAACGATTAATTTTTGTTTAAATACAGTCATGAAGATTTACTTTTTTTTTTTTAATGTCTTCAGGTGATGGAGCAACAGACACTGTCAATAGCCAAAGCCGGTATCATATGTCAACTGAACGCTCGCACCTCGATCCTGGCGGCCGCCAACCCCGCCGAGTCGCAGTGGAACAAGAACAAAACGATCGTTGAAAATGTTCAACTACCGCACACGCTCATGTCCAGGTAGCTTGGTTGATGACACGACAGCCGGGGCTTGGAGAAGGGTTGTGGCCTTCTCACACGCAATCGTGTTATTCATATGCACTGTACATAATATTATATTGTTAGCAAAAGTATTGTTATCGGGGACCATCAAATAATATGTGCCCGAAATTTATGAAAAAAAAAATCCCCTCTGAAAAAAATTGACTAACATATAAGTCATAATTATTATATTATTTGTATCATGGTGAGATGTTCTAGAGATTGTTATTCGCTTTCTACTCAGCATCTATCGACAGCTGGGTTTTAATCACTTTACACACTGAGCACACTGACAGTACTTCTAACAATGTTTCATATACCTTGAGCTCTTCTGTTGCGCCCGTAAACGTCGTCCGTTAGCGACCGTGAGCACTCAGCAACAGGCGCGTCGTGGGCTCTGACCTACCATGACACCTTCGTGTCATCAGTCCACAGTAGCTACACACATCTAACCCAATAGAAATAGACCATCAGCATTAATCTCATTCTTACTAAAACTCTAATGGTGAAGTATACTGCGGCAATACAGTGTGCTTAGTGCGAGTTTTTTAAGGTTCTCCATAGCGTAAAAGTTAGCTCATATTTGTATGGAATGGGATCGTTTGCCTACGTTTGCCGCTAGGGGGCGCTGTTCCAACTGCATACAAAAATGGCTTAACTTTTACGCTATCGAGAACGTTAAGAAACTCGCACTAAGCACACTGGTTTCATGTATAATTTCAGGTTCGACTTAATATTCCTCGTGCTGGATCCACAAGACGAAGTGTTCGACAGACGTTTGGCCTCGCACCTGGTATCCCTGTACTATAAAGATCCGAACGATCCTCAAGATGACGAGGATGCTATTGTTAGTAAATCATGAAACTAAACTACTATGCATATAAATTTATTTTTAGATTTAACTTTGTCTGCAATTTGTAACACATTCTTAATGGACAATATTTTTTGTTGTTGTATTTATTTAAGCCGCACTACTGTATAATTTATCACAAGTTTTTTTTTGTTTATATAAGATTATTCACCCAGTGAATATCTCCATTGTGCAACAAAAGAGAGAAACATAATAATTATATAACAAAAAATAAAGGAAACTGTTATCGTCTCTGAAGGCCCACTAAAACTATTTTGTAAAGTGACTTAGCCATTTCTGATTCCGGAAAGGGTTTTACGTAATTTATACCTCCAACTTGTCGAAAATCTATCAATCTATCAATGCTAAAACACATAAGACTGTAGAGGTTCCAGGTCTAATTGTGTGTTATTGAACAGGATATAAGTCTGATGCGGGACTACATAGCCTTCGCGAAGGAGCACGTGCAGCCCACGCTCAGCGAGACGGCGCAGCAGCGGCTCATAGACGCCTACGTCGACATGAGGTTCGCTCTTCTATTAAAATTTGAACTATAACTATACTTGAGACATTAGAACTTATATCTCAAGGTGGGTGGCGCATTTGCGTTGTAGATGTCTATGGGCTCCGATAACCACTTAACAACAGGTGAGCTGTGAGCTCGACCACCCACCCATCTAAGCAATAAAAAAAACTGTAATCATCAATAAAAGAGAGACTCAATATTATATTGGGAGTATAACGACAGAGAGAAGATCTTCCACCGAGCGAGTGATATTGCTTGGTAGACCGACGCGCGACGGTCCGAATGTTGTTGTTCGGAACTTGTACATATGCACGCTAATGTTGAAAATGTCGTAAGCGAAATTCTCTCTTCTTCTTGTCTGTTAATTACCTTGTATTGTATGATGGCTACACGCCACAAGCTCCTTATTCGCGCTTCCTTTATTCGGATATAATCGGTACATACACATTGATCAAAAAAAAATGTGTGCGTGTACTAGTGTACACACGTAAGAAGTGAAACTTGTTTATGGCCTTATTTTTCGAAAAATGATCTACATGCAACTTTCTAGAAATTGGTTAAATAAAGTTAAATTAGATAAAGTTTAAACAAAAGGATTTTATTATCATAGACATGAATACAAAAAAGTTAAATTAGATAAAGTTTAAACAAAAGGATTTTATTATCATAGACATGAATACAAAACAGATGGCGCGTAACGGAAAAATGTGACGCGTAACCGAAAAATGTGACGGTAAATTTTTTTCCAACGCCGATAAGGAAGTTTCACTTCAAAAAAGGATTGTGTGATTTTATGAAACCACGGTAAAAGTGAACACACAGACGAAAAAGTTGAGACGTTTCACTTTAAAAATATTCAAATGTGTATCCGACCGAATATCCTCTATAAGCGCGTTGTTAAAAGTACAAAGTAAAATAGACCTTATAACAACTACGGCTAAAGTATATTTTATTTTGTCACCCAAGAACGTATCTCCTATTATCCCTTATATGCAGATTACCATAGAGTACCATTCCATATTCACGGTTTCTGTATTCGCGACATATTTACAGAGCATTTACCCCTCAAATAAAGAGCTTTTATTTTATAGCAACTAAAGAGCTTTTACTGTATTTCTGTCTCGTTTCGTTAAACTGTTTTTATATCTGTAACAGGCGCGTGGGCAGCGGCCGAGGTCAGATATCGGCGTATCCAAGGCAGCTCGAATCTCTCATCAGGTTAGCGGAAGCGCACGCCAGGGTTCGACTTTCTTCCGTTGTTGAACTGATAGACGTGGACGAAGCGGCCAGGTAATTTAACATAATATATATCAAACGTCAGTTTAGTAGACAAATCTAATGTAATACAGGATTATAAAACTTTTATTGGTGGTGGGACGTCTTGTGGGTACGCACCGGTAGGTTTCAACACCCCGCCTATGTCTGCTGTGGAGCAATAATGCGTTTCGGTTTGGATGGTAGAGTAGTCATTGTAATTTAAGAACTGAGACCTTGAAATTCATGTCTCGAGGTGGAACAGCAGCATTTAAATTGTGGGCCGTGAACTCCTCGACCCATCTAAGCAATAAAACGTAACGACTATGATGATGAACCCTAAGAAAAACCATTGAAAATTTGCGTTCGAATTGGAAAGGTTCCCGATTCCCCCTAATCTATGGTAATGAGCATTGTGTCCCAACAGACTTCACCGCGAGGCTCTGAAGCAGTCGGCCACGGACCCGGCCTCCGGGCGCATCGACGTGGGCATCCTGACGTGCGGGCTGGGCGCGGCGGCTCGCAAGCGCCGGGCGGACCTGCGCGCCGCGCTCGCCGCACTCATCCAGCCGCTGCACAAGCCGCTCACCCTCACCCACGCCAAGCTCCTGCACGACATCAACGCCGCCTCGCAAATAGTAACCACACTTCTTCACTATATTACTGTTGAAGCAGACCGGCTTTTTTTAACATTTATTGGGTGGACGAGCTCACGCTGGAGCCCATAGACATCTACAACGTAAATGCGCCACCCACCTCGAGATATAAGTTCTAAGATCTCAGTATAGTTACAACGGCTACCCCACCCTTCGAACCGAAACGCATTACTGCTTCACGGCGGAAATAGGCGAGGTGGTGGTCTGCCAGTCTGCCAGTTTCGTTGCATCACTAGATACGAATGCGCCGGACGTCTTATCCTTTAGACCACGACGACTTCAAACCGCTGAGGATTTAATTTCAGACAGGCTAGTACAATGACCTCCAGAAACAAACTGTAAATTAACACAACTAGTATGTAGTACGGTAGTTAAAATTAATTCTACAGTATAATTAATGTAAATACAATTTCGTTTTCAGACTGTAACAAGAGAGCAGTTAGACGAAGCACTGAGGGACCTACAAGACGAAGGGAAAGTTGTAGTCGTAAGCCATACTCACATCAGATTATGTTGAATTCAATTAATTTGTACAATGTTATTGCGTATTTTTAATATTTTTGATAATAAATGATCTTATTTCTTTAATGTTTTATTTCGTAAGATATTATTTTTAGCGTTTCAATAAAAAATACGTTTTCTGTTGTAAGAGAAGAGATCTTTCACTGAACAGATAATATCCGTCCATCATCATTCAGTCCATTAACTGTGTGCTTAGTGAGTGTTTTTTAACTTTCTCGATAGCGTAAAAGTTGACTTAGATTTGTATGAAGTTGGAATGTTTGCCTACGTTTGCCGCTAGGGGCGCTGTTCCAACTGCATACAAATTTGGAGTTAACTTTTACGCTATCGAGAACGTTAAAAAACTCTCACTAAGCACAATGGTCTTCGTTTCCGTTGAAGAGTTCGAAGTGCTAACCAGTCATAATCACAGAGAAGATCTAGCGAGAAATTCAATGGGAGTTTCTCGCCGGATCTTCTCTGTGGGTCGCGATTCCGTGCCGTTGGTAGATTCTGCGAAGCACTGCTCTTGCTAGGGCTAAATTATAGTTAGCAAGTTCTCCCGAATTGAGCCCCGTGAGCACACCTACCAAACCGTGAGTTGTTTGAATAACGCCTTACATATAACATAATACCAGACTAGGTAAAAAAAATAATTCGACTAGTTTCAATGCCAGGTGTTTTGATTTTTTCATGACTACGTAAAATAAATCCACTTTATTACACGGCATCTTATGCGACATTTTTTTTTTAAGTAACTGTTCGGAAAGGCTGCTATTTGCCCTACGCTAACGACCATAGACATTCACAGAAAATTACCTATGTACTTATTGTTAAATAAAAATTTATCCTTTTTACAAATAAAAAAATAAATTAAAAGTTGTTTTTGGGGACATATATTATGTATTATATTAATAAATTTACTTTAAATAAATAAGACACAGTGATAATTTTCAAATAAAACTTATAACAAATAATAAATTAATATTTTATTTACAATAAACAACTTTTGCTGTGTTACAAAAAAGCCTATGGCTATATAACAATAGTTTAAAATATAACATTTTGTTTTGTCCAGTATTCGTTAAGTATGTAAGGCAATTGGAATTTTGATTAAAAGTTGTAAAAGTAGTAAAAGTTATCTTTAACCACATTTTAAGTTTACGATTGCCAGTTGACAGTGTTTGATGTCAAATCATTTGAAGTTCGTTTTAATTCGTTAAATGTCACAACGCTTCCGATGTACCACGACAATACGATAAACAAATTTCTAGAAATACGCATCCGTTAAAAACCATCACAAAACCTTCTAGACAAAACCAAACCCATTTTTGTAACAAAAATAAAATCTAAAATGTTTCCAGTGCAAACAACGTCCATAAGAAGCCTTTATATTAAAATCTCAAACATCCCAAAAAACTATATAATACTATTTTCGAATGAGGTCACAAAATTCCCACAACATTTTTGTATAAACAATTTTTATTTACAGATAACGACAGTCAATGAGGTAAAACGAACAAGGCACTCCGTTCTGCGATCCGTTTGCCTTCGCACCACAGATTAAACACGCGATTTAATATTAACATATAACCCGTACAATTTAAAAGAACGGTTCATCAAGAATTATGTTCTTCGGTTTTGTTCGTATCGCCTCCAACAACGGTGCTAGTTCTCGGGTCGTATTCGTCGGCCCTACTGCACGCTTCCAATACGTATTTATTGAATAGCTCCGGTTTGTCTAAGTAAACGTGATGACCTGCGCCATTTATCACCTGCAAATACACAATAGATTTAAGAAAAGGCGGGCTATCGTAAAAAGACGCCTAGAAAATGTTAACTCCGGCATTTTTATTTGAGGGTAGGTTGCCGCTGTCTATAAAAGGCAGTACATAAAAGGTTCGCGGTCATTTAGCGAAGCGGTCGCGTCAGGAAACTCTGTCGATTTGATTTCGTGTGATTTGTAAGTCCGTCTTATTTGACTGTTCGATTGGTTCCTTGAGTTTTATTTTAATTTTGATAGTCGTACTTAGAGCATACGATCTGAGTGTAAATAAATCTTATTCGTGTTACTTAAGATCCTTCTTTGAGGTGGGTAGCTATTTCTTTTTTAACAGTACATATTTTATTTATTTATTTTTTATTGCTTAAATGGGTGGACGAGCTCACAGCCCAGCTGGTGGTAAGTGGTTACTGGAGCCCATAGACATCTACAACGTAAGTGCGCCACCCACCTTGAGATATAAGTTCTAAGGTCTCAAGTATAGTTACAACGGCTGCCCCACCCTTCAAACCGAAACGCATTACTGCTTCACGGCAGAAATAGGCGGGGTGGTGGTACCTTCCCTTGCGGACTCACAAGAGCTCCACCATCAGTAAGAACTTTTATTCACTTTTGGTTCCTAAAAATAGTTTATTGCGCGTCAGAAAGAGTTGCAGTCTTTAAGAGAAATTTAAAAATGAGGGTAGGATGAATTCGCGACCCGGCTTGTGTCATCACAACGTCCAAATATCATGGATATCCTTGAGATTTTAACGTTAGTTCTTGTAAGACCGCCCGTGACAACTTGAATACTGACAGACATAACTTTTGGTGTTTAAAATGTCTTCAGAATATGATCTTTACGGGTGTCATTGCCTCAATAAAAGACGAGACCTTTGATCCATGATATTAGACCGACGAATGTTAAATGTCGTTAACGCGTTTTAAATACTCTCAAATACCCTGTATTCCAGAATAACTACACAATTCCTGTTATTTATCGTCATTAAATATAACAGTGGTCCCGCGGTAGTCGAACTTCGACTATTTAATTGACTATTTAACTAATTAATTGAAATCATAAGTTTGAACATTATTATGGTTCTATTGTCAAACACTATTATATTTCTATAGTGACAGATTTCGCCAAGAAAGATAAACAATATTAACTTAATTCTCAATTTGACTACAGATTTTAAGCAATAACAAAAGTTTGACAATTAACAAAGACTATGTGTGTGTGTGTCAAATACATGNTTTAATTGACTATTTAACTAATTAATTGAAATCATAAGTTTGAACATTATTATGGTTCTATTGTCAAACACTATTATATTTCTATAGTGACAGATTTCGCCAAGAAAGATAAACAATATTAACTTAATTCTCAATTTGACTACAGATTTTAAGCAATAACAAAAGTTTGACAATTAACAAAGACTATGTGTGTGTGTGTGTCAAATACATGGTAGTGTGTGTAATGTTTTCTTTATTGATTTAATGTATTTTTAATGCATAATTAAAAAAAAATATTAGCATTCTGCACTTCTTCTCTATATTCTCTATAAGTGTGGGAAATTTCATACTCATCCGTCCGCGCAATTTTCGTAAAAAGGGGTACAAAGTTTTTGCTTCACGTATTAATATCATTAAATATAATAAAAATCAATTAAATTTAAACGAAGCTACTTTTATAAGGCTGTCACAAAATTTGACACTTCAAGACATGATTCCGATACAACACGGTATACACGTTGCTCGATACTACGCGGTGTACCGTATTTCGTATAACGCGGTCACGATACAGCACGGACGCGAAATTAATCGCGTTATAGGACAGACGCCTGTACCTGTACATAGGTTCTGGAGTGCGGCCTGTGCTCGCTGAGCACGTGGCCGGTGCTGTTGTCCACCCAGGACCGGGAGCCGTACAGCACGGTGATGGGCAGGGCCGGGCTGAGCTTGTCGATGCGCTTCACCATCGGATTCTTCGCCCAACCGAAGCCGGTCATGAGCGAGTGGAAAGCGCTTTCGCCGCTAAAAGTAGATCAATAAAAAAAAACAATTAATTGTCTGTGACTGACTTAATGGTGCAGTAGTTTAGCGCCTAACTGTCGCGCCGAGGTTTGATTTCCGCATTAGGCAAACATTCGTATGATGAACAGGTTTGTTTGCTCTTTGTCTGGATGTTTATTATCTATATATGTATTTTTATTGCTTAGATGGAACGAGCTCACAGCCCATCTGATGTTAAGTGGTTACCGGAGCCCATAGACATCTACAACGTAAATTCCGCAACCGACTTCAAGACACGAGTTCTTAAGTCTCAATTTTCCCAATACAAATGTATTTTTTTTATTGCTTAGATGGGTGTACGAGCTCACAGGCCATAGTCATTTACAACGTAAACGCGCCACCTACCTTGAGATATAAGTTTGTAGATGCAGTTGTTGTAGTTCTGCTTCTAACTGAATTAGGTAGGCGCTGATACGAAGGATGTTTTACACAGTGAGTATAAATAATGTACTGCTTTGAATAGTTTATTGAAGATAAGTATGTACACACAAACAAACTATAACCGGAGTGGTACGATAAAGAAATAACATATAGGAGTAGTAAAGCACTGACACGAACGATGGGTAGCACAGCGAATATCGATATGTACTGCCCGCAGTTTTCAAGATTGCCGAAGTGTTGAACAACAATAATAGATGATTGCCTGAAATCATAGGCGACAGCGATTTTGCCAAATTGTAAGGCGGTTGCCCAAGTAGTGGCGGATAGGTGAGTCGCCACAAGTTCTAAGCTCTCAGTATAGTTACAACAACTGCCCCGCCCTTCGAGCCGAAACGCATTACTCGTACTCATCATCATCATAGCACTCACCTCGGCGTCTGCGAGTTGCACTGGTAGATGTACTCCGGGATGACGTTGTCCGCGTCGTTCACGTATCCGTTGTACTTCCTCGAGATGTCGGGTCGGGTTCTGCTGACGAGCCAGCGGCCGGCGGGCCCGGCGGCGCGCACCGCCCACAGCGGGTTGAGCGGCTGCAGCGCGGTCCCGATGGCGCGCACCCACAGCGGGAGTTGCTGCTTCTCGGCACCGGCCGGACGCTCGGGGAAGCCCCACGGATCCGCCAGGATTAAATGTCGCACCCTGCAAAAACATTATCTATATATTAATACGTGAAGCAAAAACTTTGTATCCCTTTTTACGAAAATTGCGCGGACGGAGGAGTATGAAATTTCCTACACTTATAGAGAATATAGAGAAGGAGTGTAGAATATTAATATTTTTTTTAAATTATGCATGATAAATAC